GTATTTTATGAAAGGCGCTTTCAGACAAAGCATATAGCTGGCCCGAAGAAAAATCAGGCATTCAACACGTAAGCGCCATTTGGCGTTCTGCCTAGTGAAAAAAGCATTTTCTCATTCCAAAAAATACAGCTTAATATTTAACCGCACCTATTGCAACATTTGGGATGAAAGAGCTAGAACGTAGCGAGGAATATGTTGAATTTGCTGTGGTATCGGATTCATTAAATTTGCTGCCAAGGCAGAGAAATACAGTAGCGCTCAAAAGTATTCGGCCAAATGCTTTTTTCGCCATAGCTTTCTTTCTGCTGAATCAAATCAGTTCAATTTTTGATATGTTCTAGAGGGAAGCGTTCTCCACTTAGCAAGTGTATTACTGTTGAATGGGAGAAAGAATTTAGAAGAAAAAATTGTTACTCTAAAAATTCTCGAGTATGACCGAATTCCAAGTAAATTTCAATTTGTTATAAGATACTTACAACTCAACAAAACAATCTACCGCATAATAGAAAAAGGTAATCAGATTCAATACTTACATGATAACCTTTTGGAGCTGCGAAAACCTCAACAAGGTCTAAGTGTGGAATCAATCACCGATACCACTGCCTATTGGGACAACCTCCTTAAAGCCACGAGTCAGGATTAGGTGACCATAGAAGGCCTTTCCATCACTAATATTTCCAGGAATGCGCTCAGAGGGGTGATGCCACACTCCTGACTCGAGATTGCGCGCCGTCAAGGCCTCTGGCCTACTACTTACAGCGATGGGTTCGTTACATCAGCTGGTCCCGCCCACCGCGGGATGTGGTGCGTGGCTGGCCTAACGTGTGAGATCAGCTAGGTTGATTGCCGTATCAACCGATGGAACGGCTGGCATATCCGGAAAACTCGTTTGGACGTGGCTCTCCCCCGAGCAAGCCTCCTTCACTGCTAGAAGGGAAGGGGTTTCGATTTCGGTCTTGTCGACGGTTTCTTTGCGTTTTTTCTTCACTGTCGTTCCACCTCCCATCTCTACACTCAATTTCAGGCGCCATAATGCCCAAACACGAGCCTGACTTTTGCCTTTAATTTCTTAAATTAGAGCTTGTATCTCAACCTCAAATTCTTCCTATCTTTTCCATCGCCCGAGCAGTCCTTACCTTCCTGTATAGTGTTTCGATGAAACCTGGACATGTGGCTTAATTAGTGCCTTTCGTTAGAAAGCACACCATGCTGGCGAAGCCACTCCTTTCAGTGGAGGTGCAATGCTTTTGGTCGCTCCATCGCTAGAAGACGAACTAGACCTTAGCGTGCAGTGCCACATACGCCTGTGGATACATAACAATCTTCGCGAAACGAAGTTGTTACGATCCCGCTTCACAGGTCCCTTTCGCATCCTAATGCAGCGGTACAGCCTTCCGTACGGCCTAACCAATGGACCGAGCCTTGCGACTAAGTAAGGATGCGCAGCTGATACTGCTCCGAATCGAACGCCTCCATCCAGGACCATACACTTTGTTACGCGCCACCCGCCAAACGCCCAAAACGTACTTTCGTCGACTCTAGTGACGAAAACCCTTACGGACGATCTCCATCGCCAGCATCTACGTAAGACTCGTCATCTCCATATCACTTCAAAACCGGACAAAGTCACAGGTTCACGAACTGGTGAAGGCGGACGTATACGTTTAGCTTCTAGAGAGTGTTGTGTATCCTCTTTTTTGGCAACTCCTCGTAACGTATTCTCTTCTAGCAGTCATGTTTTTGTTACAGAAATCATTGAATGAAACATTGGCATTCAACATCACGTTCATTTATAAGAGCTTCTTCACATTCAGAAACCAATAGTTGGCTCTGAACAGAGTGGGATGTAGAATTCCCTTTTTTAATATCTTTGATGCTCCTGTACTGTCTATCAGTAGCTCTTATGTCCTCCTTCCACAGAAATTGACTTGGATAGCTGTAATTTTTTGGCGAGACATACGCTTGACTCCCGACTGTTCAGCATATTTGATCAGAAGAATAAACATTTCAAGCACCTGATTTGGCTCACATTCGATCTTTGTACTTCTCGATTGGGCTACATATAAGAGCTGATTGACGACTCGTTCGACAGCACTTCCTCTAATCCGTTTACGTCATGACGTCATCGGGCGTTCTAGCTGGACTGGTATGTTTTCAGTTTCGCAGTTTTTCAGCTGCTGATTTTAGATATTTTCAATTGGGAAACTTGTTCCATTGCTCTTCAGGAGCTTTTTGAAGATCCCTCCAAAGTAGTGGAGGGAGGGCTGGAAAAACTGTAAAGCTTCATGGGGTGTCCAAAAACTTTCAGAGTGCCTACGCCTAAGTCCAGGAAAGTCTAGGCCTCCTATAGGGGATAGTTTACCAATGAGTTGTAACGTAGTTCTCTGGGCACTTCAACATGAAGTCTTCCATGCGGTCATAAATTATCCTGGAAGTACTTCAGGTGGGTTCACATTCTCACCTTGAATGACAGGCATGGCTTGATTTGAAAACTTGTGTTTTTGCATTTCTTTTCTTTTATTTGATTAGGACTCATGTATAGTTTAATCTGAAATTTTCCAGTTTCTCGTCATCTGCGTGTACAGCTCGTCTGCTTACGTTTTCAAGCGAGCTGGTGAGCATGATCTCTTACTTTTTTACTGTTGACATCAACAAATGAGCAGGAAGAAACTGAAAGCTGCTTAACTATTGAAATTTATTCCTCGAACTGATTCCAACACTTTTCAGTTTGTGCCAATACGGAACTGTCTGATACACTTCGCAACCAAATCCTTTCGTTCCATAACGACGCTCGCCGTCGTGTTGCAAAGGGACAGGAGCCGAACAATGTTGGCACACTTAACCCTGCTAAGAAACATGTATAAGC